AACATAACCTCATAAGCTCGAGTTGCAACATTTGATTTTTAAAATTTGGATTAATCTTACTATATAATATTTAATTAAGTTATCTAATTTAATATCTAAGATTAATGAATCAAATCATTTATTATCATCATTTAGAATTATATTATTTGATCATCAATTGTACGAGACGATAGATAGAGACCTCTCTGGGATGAACTTGGATCATTCTAAATAATATATTATTTGATTTAACTAATTATGCTATATGAATTGAGGATCGTATTGTGTGATAATAAGTAGTTTAATTGAAAATTAGGGTCCCCGTTTATAAACTTCTACATGGCTTCTGAGAACAAGTTTTTTGGAAGTCAAGTGATGTTGTTTTCTTTCTTTATGAGAGCTTTGAGAGAGTCCACATTAATAAGGGAGAGAAGAGGTGAGGTTGAGAGAGGAAGAATATACTTAAGGGAGTATGATGGGGTTCAAACAGTTGCTCCGGTTGGCCTGCACCTTAGGGCATCGCCATTGGGCTTGGAGGCAAAATAAGGGATGACATCTTTACCGAGCCAAGGAGGCGACATGAGAAATCAACATCTTTGCCAGGCTAAGAAAGAAAATGGAGGGATGACATCTCATCCAAGATGTGGAGGCGAGAGGAGGGAGATTCTTTAGATATGTATAGTCTATAAGGGTGATTCTTTTCGAGGTCAAAGGAGAAGAGCTTCTTTGCCAAGCTGTGTGTGATGCCCTAGAATTTAAATTGGAAGAATTATTCTTTTAATCTTTTAATAAATAATAACTCAAGCTATCTAATTTCATTTATTAGAAATAAATAATAAAAATAATTCTAGAATTCAAAATATATGTACGTAAGCCAGTAAAATAGTAAACCAATACGAGTGTGAAAACTATAAAGCAATTGTCATATCCGTAATACCAATCAGTATAGAAATCATATGAAGTATTAAATCAAAATAACATTACAGATTATTGAAATCAAATCAATATAGTAAAATCATATATGAATGTATACATGTTACATAGTTATTTTATATCAGTATTAAATCAATATCTTAATCACATGCTCAATGAATATATCATACATTTTGTATCGATAAATTAGTAATAATATTAATAATAAATATATACAGTAACATAAATAATATCTCAATAATATTCATTTCAGTAGTTACACTAAAAAAGTAAGAATTCTGGTTATTATAGTATTTTTTAGTATCAGTGTCAGTAACCGTTGACTCAGTAAATAGAGTCATAACTCTTTGCCCGTCGCCAAAGTAATCATCTCCTTATAACTTCTAATTAGTATATCACATGAATCAGTAGAGGATAACACTAAGCTATAGTATTTAAATGAAAGCTTATTGGTCCACTATCATGTACATCTCAATCAGCATTCAAACGAACTGGTCAACCAGTCTTTACTTCTCTTTAACACACATATTATTATCATAATACTATAGAAGTAATAACAATTAATCAGCTATTACTCAATCACATATACATATTTATTTTTAATACACTACAATAAATAAAGTATAATTGAGCTTAATTCAGAAAGTGTTAAACTAGCATAATAATAGACAACAAAAATCATACTAAGCAAAAATTCAAATATTTAAAATTTAACCAAAATACTAAATATTATATAAAATAATATTATGAAACTTTAATTGAACTAAATCACTATTTTAGACGTTAAAATAAATTTATGAGTAGAAAAATTATTGTATTTTTAAAATCACCTAGTGAAAAATCTTAAATAAATACTAAAAATATTCATAATCTCAATACCTATAACATATAAAAAGTTATATAGTAAAAGTTTACCGATACAAAATTATACTTATTTTTTTATAATGAAAATACAAATTTGATCATAAAAATATCAAAAACTCAATTCCCTTGAAATAAAAAATATTGTAAATGTTCCTTACAACGAGACGAGAAAATCTCCCAATAATATCGATGGATGAAAATCACTCTACGACCTCCAAATCTTAACTTTATTTTTCTCTCTCCTCTCATTTTCTTCTCATTCTCTAATTCATTTCTCTGTTGTTGAAATGAAGTGAGAAAGAGGATTTAAAAAAAAATAAATATTAAGTGCATTAGGATAGTTTGAATAAAATAATAATAATATAATATTTAATTTAATCAATTCTTTAGTATAAAATTCAAATAAATTATTTTAGGACCTCAAAAATTATAGAAAAATATTCATAAAATATCTCAATTTTTTTTAAAAAATATTAGTAAAATCGAATTGTAAAACAAACACCTAACAATTATAAAATTCCCACTTGTAACGATATATGCCTATTTCTTAAGATTTTTACGAGTTCCCAAAAATTATGAAAAATTCATATAATTAAAACACTATAATATCAATACTATGATGAAGATAATTTGTGATTTGGATTTATATTGACTTCAAAAAAAAAAATTGGCAAAGTCAACATATGGGCTATTATAATGTGGGCCGAAGGAGAAACATGTTTAATGTAATTCTCAAAGGGGAGAATCTTTGTGGAGTGGATGTAGGTCAATTTGAGCTAACCATTAAAAACCTCAATTTGCATTTTTTTTTATTAACCTTACTACACTATGGTTTCATTGTGATTATATTTGTGGAAAATGATTTTGATGATAAGTTTTTGTTGATCTTTGGTTTAAAAATTAGAAAAGTAAAAAGTAAAAAAAAAACACAAAAAAAGGTTATTTATGTTCTACAAGTTTAAAAATAAAAATTTTGTACTTGCTTTTAAATTTGTTTTGAGTTTTTTAGTTTACTTGATTCCACAACTTTCAAGATTCATTTTTCAAGAAAAAAGATTTTTAAAATTTCAAAAAGTTTTAAAAGAGCCAATTCAACCACCCTTCCCCCCCTGATCAATCTCACTTAGTCCTCTTTCTGAACCTGAAATCAATCAAATCCGTATAATGATCTTGCAAAGCTAAGCAAACAACCAAAATAACAAAGGTTCCAATATAAGGCCATATCATAAATTTGCATGCTCATCTCAATTAATATAAAATGAGTGGTCATCGATATGAAATTAACAATGAATATAAATATATTAATATAAATCAATATGATCGGTAAAACAAAAGCATCTCAAGAAATATAGGAATATATTAACATATTAGGAACCATGACCCCTCTTAGCTTCAATATTGGTTAAATCCAATTCGTACATGGGCAATGAATCAAGAATTGAATTAATGAATTTACCTCAATAAAAGGCTATAAAGCAATGTTAGGTGCCATATAGTAAAATATACATCAATTATCTATCAATTATATTTATGCAAAAAAATGTTATCATATATTTTCTATCAGTAATATGTCATATGTACATGTTTATCAATATGTCATTCCAATATACTATATCAATATGTTTATCAATGTCTATAACTATACATGTCATATACTATATCAATTTCAATGCTCATTCAATTAGTTCTATATAAGTTTTATATTTCAATCATTTCAAGAGCTATCATGTAAATGCAATTATGAATGCGATTATAAATAGCAACGTAGGATATTTAACTTTAATGTGGTGTTTTTAATATCTTTATTTTTAACTATTAACTAATTGGTCCTTAGTATTTTATCTTTCCATGCTCACTCTATCTTGTCATCATCATTTATAAATCTTAAGTCAGTTCACAGGTGGATTTCAGTAAATCATTTAGAGTCATCACTATCTATTCGTTGGTGTAATGCAATTAATTAGTTATAGGCTAATATCCAAGATTACACCATATATTTTTTATTTAAAGAAAAGTCTCGCAGTCTACCTTCTTGTACAAGATATTATGTTTTAATGGACATCACATACTGATTATAGTGTTAACAGATAACTTTTCTTGCTTATATGCAAATGCCACATTTATTATATATTAGCTATATCATTTCCTCTATGAAGTTCAATATCATAAATAAAATATAATATTATATAAAATGTTGGAAACTGTATACATTACTGATTTACTTCAGAAAATTATAACTATCAATCTATTAGGCGAAATTTAATAATATTACAGCAAAATGCATATAAAATTTATATCTATTATATATAAAAAGTTACATGCGACAAATTAGGAGAAAATATTTTATGTGACAAAAATATCTAATTTTTGTCAGAATTATTTTATGCGACAAATTAGGACAATTATATATTGCCCCTTTTTACCGGGCGACTTATCCACTACTAGTGACTTAAACCTAAGTCGCCCATTTGATGGATAACTTTGCCTAGTTTTAATTTTTTTAAACACACTTATACGCTTAATACAACTTTAATTATGCTTAATTTAAAATATTTTCTTAAAACTTATTAACTAAGATTCATAAATAATGTAGTTTATATGAATTTATATATAATAATTTTAAGTGTTACACATCTAAATCCCCTTCAATATAAAACAATTCTCTATTGTCCAACAAATTGTCAGGCTTAGGGGTGTCAAAATGGGTTCTCGAGTTGGGTTCGATTTGAACCTGTATTGGCCCGGGGTTAAACGGGTTGATCATAATCGGACCTAGTTTTGTAAATGAGTCAAGATTGTCAACTTGGACTTGACCTGCGTGGGTAACATGTTGAATTTTGCCCTGCACTCTTCCTTCAAATGCACCTCGAAGACTCGAAGTAGCCTTCCTCATCAAGGTGGAATTTGTGTGCGCCCTTAGGGAAGAGGCTGCTCCGAAGGCCATGCCGTTGTAAAACCTCATAAGCAATCTTCGACAGAGCTTCCTTCGCCGCTTCTTTTGCCATGGCGGCAACTAATATAAGAGGAATGAGGGTGAAGAGTAGGCAAAGAGGTCTTAGATCTCCCGCTCAAATCAAGTGATATTGGACCCAGGTCAACTTTGAGTTTCCAGATCAATCCGAATTTGACCCGATTTTAAAAATAAATCACATTTTTGAATCCGAATCTGACCGGTCTTACAAAAGGGTTTATCTAACTCAAAAATTTTCCATCGGATCGGTCCCCTGGTCCGGCTTTCCAAGAGCCGCTCGCTGCCCATTCATCGGACGGTCAACATATTGGAAGCTTAAGACCGCCACCGCCCATATCCTCCCAAGATCTCGCCCTTTCTTATGCTGCTTCTTCGAACTTCTGAATCGTAACATAGTTCCTCCATACTGATGGCGAGGATCTGAAAGCTTCGGTTGCTGCGGCGGGGGGCAGCAATGGACTCATCTCGGGTGATGAATGTCGAAAGATCGTCGCTGTGCAACTGCGTGGTAAACTTCTTGTTGGAGGAAGGCTATATGCTGACCGCCTTCGAGCTCCTCCACGAGCTAATCGAAGACGGACGGGATGACCAGGCCATCCGCCTTCGCGAGTACTTCTCGGACCCTTCCCTCTTTCCTTCTGATCAGATTGCCCGCTTCAATTCCATCAGAGGTTTCATCTTTCTCCACTGCACAAACATCTTATTTCTGGATCTTCTTCTATCCTATGTACTTTACTTTTCAAAGCTGGATCTGGATTCTATACTTTAGCAAATGTCATTGGAATCTAGCGTGTTGTGCTTTAGAAGAATGCACTCAAAGGATTTGCTGGAAATGCCCTTTGTTATTTTGTTTAGTGCATTTAAAAACTTTGAAAATTATTTTGATTATACTGGCGCTTGCTTTGACATTGTAACATGTGGTAGCCAATTACCAATTTGAGTCCTGCAAACATATACGAATAGCACTTAAACTGCATCCTTGTGTAGTTGTGTGTGGTATTGTATGGCATGTTTACATTCATGCATACTTATTGATTCCATAGTTTAGTTAACACGTTTTACATTTTGTTATTTTATGTCTGATGGCCACAATTGACTATTTGCGATCAAATGCATGGCGTTGGAATTACTTTCTCTATATAGTTCTTGCAATCTCACATTCAATGATATGAAAAATTTCTTCTGTACATTATTTCAGCTGCAGATCCACAAACTTTACTTGAGGAGAAACTAGTAGTGGAAGAGAAATTGGCGGTCACTGAATATGAGCTTCGTTTAGCACACGAAGATGTCACAAGGCTCAAGTCAGAGTTAGAAAACATAAATGAAGCTCTTCCTGATGAATGTAAGTCTTTGCTTGTATTTTTGACACAGAACATCAGATGAGAGAGCTTTTCTAGTCATATAGGAGCATGCGAATTTAAGGTTGTTAATAGACACATAAGAATGAAGAATAATTTAATATAGAATTGAGTGTAAAATATTATCTAATGTGTTATTTCTGGCCTTATGGTTTACTTGTGTTATTTCTGGTCTTATGGTTTACTTATTAACATGTTTGAATTGATGAGGGTCCAGAAAATAGTTCATTGGGCTCAACTTAAGCCCCATATATCTTCTCACAACTATTATCAGAGTCGATGTTTTGGCTGGAACCAAGCGTTCCATTTATTTTGTTGTTTCCTCGAGTCTTGTTGCTTTTCATCATGGTTGAACAAGTTTCAAGAGTGGTGACTTATATGCTATCGCCACATAGTTGAGTGGGTTTTTGGTGTATAACATTTGATGATGTTGAAAAGTTTTCTTTTGGGGGATTGATGGGGTATATGTAGGGGTGTAATCGAGTTGAGTCGAGCTTGAGTCACAACAAACTCGAGCTCGACTCATCACTCAAATAAACAACTCGAACTCAAGCTTGAGCTTGAGTTGAGCCCAATGAACGAGCTTGAACTCGGTTCGAGCATTTGAACTCCAGCTCGAGAGCTCAACTCGATGTATAGTCGCTGGCGGCCGACCAAGTCTCATACCGTGGTGGAGCCGTGGAGAGGTTGCAGGAGCGTGTTGTGCTTCACTGAAATGACAGGACCTCAGGAAAAAGAAGGAAACGAGAATCATATTTTTTTGTTTTTATTTTTTCTAAAAAAGTTGTACAAAGTACATGATAAATGATGATATGACTTTTTTTTAAATGTTGTTGTGATGTACAATTATTTTAAATGCTATCATTAAATGCATAAAATTTCAGTATCTGTTTTAAATATTTTTTTCAACTGAAAAATAGTTTTTAAATATTTAATTTATTTAAACCAACTAGCGATCTGACTAGCCGAGTTTAAACAAACTCGAACTTGAGCTCGTGGCTCGATAAGTTCAACTCGCGAGCTCGTTATCGAGTCGAGCTCGAGTCGGCTCATTTACACCCGTAGGGATGTGGTTTTTTTCATGTGAAAGGGAGATTATTAAAATACACATGCTTGTGAAGAACAATCCCACATTAGAAATGAATAGAAAGGTTTAGATTCTAATGTATTAGTTGTGGTGTGGCTATTACACATTAGCTTAAGTTTTTAGGTTAATGGTTTTCAATCCACTATTGTTTGAAAAGTTTTCTTTTGGGGGGTTGATGGGTGATGTGGATGATTTTCATGTGAGAGGGAGATTATTAAAATATACATAGTTGTGGAGAAGAATATCAAATTAGAATTGAATATAAAAATTTATTTTCTTATGTATTAGTTGTGGCTATTACTCATTAGCTTAATTTTTTCGGTTTAATGAGTGTCAATTTACTATTGTATTGAGCTCAACTTAGTTGCTTCTTTATTTCACCCCACATACAGAGGTATATATTTATGCATTACAAGAATATTTTTGTTAACAAGGCATTTGATATTTATGCTCCAACAGGTTAACATGGGCGCATATTGATATTTGCTAAGTCTAATTTAATATGAGATTCCATATGTTCTAGGATCATCGTGCACATACTAGAAAATGTCTATTAATTCTTTGTTTAAATGAAATATTTATACTTGCTTGGTAGATTGAAGTGATGCTCCATATGTGGTTGCAGCTCCTGATGCTTCTATAGCTAATGGCCCGAAAAATCAGCGAGAGAAAGAGAGCAACTTTTCTTCTTTAGGCCCATTGAAGGATGCTGAGCGCAAAGATCTTAACTGTGCTGTCAAAGAATACTTGCTTTTTGCTGGTTACCGGCTCACAGCAATGACATTTATTGAAGAGGTAGATGGTTGCCTCCATTTTACTGGCATCCATAAATTAATTTTTATAGGTATAATCAAATTAAGGGTAAGATTTTTATGAAAGCTTTCAGTGGGTTGGGAATCAAATGCATGCAATGTTATTTGATTATGCTGGCAAGTTCTTAGGGTTGATACCTTGTTTGAATTCTGTGTATTTTTGGTTGACATCTGCAGTAGACATATAATTCTTGTAGTTAAAAATTTGCCTTCAATGAATGTTTTCGTGCAAATGATGCATAATATTAATGGGCGATGCTTAGATCATAATGCATATAGGGGTAATGGAAAAAGAAATGTGCTTTTTAATGGATAGAATTTTGGCTCATTTTCATTTTATTGAAATGTTGTTGCATTGCTATGATTTGGGTGTCTATAGAAGTATTGCCTCTTTTTTACCCTTACTTTCATTTTATCGATCATAATTTTGATAGATGTTAGCTGTTTACTATATGAGGCTATTAGTCCAAAAAGTATTTTTTCCTTTTCTTTTTACATTTGGAGTAATGCTCATCTGATCCAATGTCTGACTTCTTCATTTTTCTGTCAAGGAAATAAAACCATTCAGATATTGAGTTTACCATTAAACTATTATTCTAATTTAATTTTTGTTGACGTTATTAGCAAGATAAGGGCTAATATAATGTGACATTTTTCCTTATGAAAACTGAAATATCATTCTGGTTTGCAATGTTAGTGATTAAAGGTCCCCTTTTAGTCTTTTTCCCCATTGTGTTACAATTAAGTATAAGGAGAGGCTACTTCAGCTATTTAGAAGAAATTGTTTAAACATGGTAGGTTGGTGCTTAAGCTTCAAGTACGCTTGAGCAATTTTGTGAAAATCCTCCTCAAATGCCTTGCCTGGGTTCAACTTAGCATTATGCTTAAAAATTCTGTCTTTTATCCATGGAAAATGCCATAGAGATGCATAACCTTAGCAGCTTAGACACCTGAACGGTTGTAGTATGTTTGAATAGTTTACATCCTAACCCAACCTCGACAAAGAGGTGTAAGCCTTGCCTATCAATCCATCATTTATTTTTAATACAACAGCAACAACAACAACAACATCTAGCCTTTGTCCCACTATGTGGTGTCGGCTATCATTTATTTTTAATATATTAAAATTTTTTTTTTTTTACCACTTCTTATAAAATGATGAATGCTCATACTTGCCATTATGTGATTTTGTTTCATGCTAGTACATGATACTGATTAGTCATTGATTTGTAGGATATTCTACGGGGAACCTTATTTCGGAACTCTAAATGTATTAATTTTGAGTGAGGGAGGAAATTAGGTTACTATCAGCAAATGGCTTAACTCCTTAAGAACACTGCTATAGCATAATTTAATGGTCTTTTGTGTTCTATTCTGATGGCTCATGCTTATGGAATTGCTGCAATTGATAATATCCATTTATAACTCCAATGATCAACTATGCTTGTGCCAAAAGATAATTAATGTTTTGTGCTAAAATTCAGCATTGTCGTTTTGTACTTTGCTTAAGATGTCCTTTAAAGTGAGAGGAGCTGCATTTAGATGTTAGAGACAAAGATCTAATAGTTTTTGTTATGGGACTTTCGTTTTTGGAACTTTTATAATTATGATGAGGTAACATTGATTGTTTCATATTTTGCTAGGTTACTGATCAAAATCTTGATGTTTGGCCCAAAAGCTCAGCTTGTGTCACTGATGCTTTGCGTCGTTATTATTATCAGTACCTCTCATCAACTACAGAAGCTGCTGAGGTACCATTACTAATATATTATGCATCAGCTGAGGCAGGCTCTTTTGAACACAAAGTTATGAAAAAGCTGTATTATTGTAGGCTTGCAGATTTGCTAAAAAAATTATTAGGAACTACTAAACCTTCTGCTAAGATAAATTTCATGTTGAGTTTTAGTTCGGTTATTGATCATTGCAATCTAACAAGTCATTGTTTGGAATCTATCTTTTAATGCGTTATTTGCTCAAGAGAACATTCCTTAATTACCTCGTGATCATGATCTTCAACACTATGTTGACCGAATTAAAATAAAAAAGGGGAAATAGAATGCGGTTTTAGAGCGAACAAAAGCATTACTTCACCAAGCAATACAACTATTCAACATAACTGATTAATTCAATCTATAAAGATAGAGGATTAAAAAAACTTATGCTATCGATTTTGCTCCAGTTTTTTTTTCTCGTCTCTGCTGTGCTTTCCCAAAGCCCTACTGAACGCCTTCCAATGTCTCTGACCCGTAGTTTGAACGATTGCCTCAACTTAGTTGTCTCGCCTCTGTGCGTTCGACGTCAATACATGACGGTCCGCCTCCTTCTGATCCAGTGATGCTGGTCCGCCTCCTTCCAACCCGTTGTCATCCCAAACTCACTCCATCAGTCCGCCCCCCGTCCGCTCAAGCCCAAACGAAAGTGGCACACCCCCGACTCCTCTATTTGATTGACCCTAGCACACGAACCCAATACGCGAAGCCGACATACCTCCATGCCCCCGACTTCGACGTCCACGCGCAACCCCCGTGCTTCTGTATGTTTGTTCGGCTTCAGCACGCCTACCTGACCAGTTTGATTGCACTTAGCACACAAGAGAGATTCCACACAAGAATTTCTACCTATTCAAAATCCTTAGCGAGGTCCATGCTCTACTTTCCATAGGTGAATTGCCCCAAATTATATAGGCTTATTAGTTAAAACAAGAGTCTTATTCTCAGTTACCGAACCCTCAGCCTTGCCTTCTAATTGACAAAGAGTTAAGCAATTAAATCGACATATAATTAAATAATAATAATAATAATAATTTTATTTTAGTATAAAACAACATATATTGTTGATTTTCAAGACCCCGCATCATGAATCTCTGATCTGGGCATATGACTTTGATTTCCTAATTTGCAAACCTACGCCGTGGATCTTTTGATCCGAGTAGGATTATTTCTAACCTGAAAACCTCACGCAGTTGAACCTTTGATCCTGGCGAGTTGAATTTTAAAATCGAAGAACCATGTTGTTGCCCTCTAATCTAGGCGGCAAAATTTTCAAATTGAAGACCCTACGCCGTTGATCTTTGGTCCGGATAGGATGAATTTATATTTTGAAGACCTTGCGTCGTTGATTTTTTATTCGGGCAGATAGAAACCATGGCAAATGCCATCCCGACCTCCCCTCATGGGGAGAGGATGCCATGAGGTTGTTGAAATGATGCCAGGAGGCTGCCGAATTCTTTTTTGGAGCTAATGGAGAGTAATTTGAGATATTTTAATTCATTTTTTAATAATTAATTCAATTAATTCTTTTAAAAAATAATTAATAATTATTTCATTTCATTTAATTGATTAATTAAATAATAAACAATTTAATTTTCAAATAAAATTAAGATTAACTCATTTAAACAACTATTTAATTAATTTATTATATTCAAATTAAAATTAAATAATTCAAATAATAAAAATAAGATTAAAATTCATTAAATTAATCAATTCAAAATAACATTAAAATTAAACTATTTAAAAATAGATTTAAAATAATCACTTCTTTAATTAATTAAAAAATGTCAAAAATTTCATTTATTTAATAAAACTAAAAATATGTTAATCAATTTTAAAATAACTTTGAAATTTTTATTAATTGAGAAATTTAATTCAATCAATTTTAATTTTAAAAATTCATTTAAAATAAAATTTAAATCTAATTTAACATAATAATTTATTAATCAATGAAACCCTTATTTAATTAATTAAATTAATCATCCAATTTCTAGACGACTCCAATTAATTAATGGTTTAAATAACAATAAAATAAAATACAAGTGCAATAAAAAAAAGAAGAATAATGTTTACGTTAATCAACTATAAGGACAACTTACACCTACTAAACACTAAACTCCTAAAACTAAAACTCAAAACTCATATAAGACTACAAAAATCTTGACTCCTGTGCAAGCTCGTGCAGGTATAAAGTTCTAGGCACCTACAAGTGAAGAAACATAATTGATCAATACTAAAACAATTGCTAAAGCAAGAAAAGAACAAGTGCTAAACTAAGCTACAATGCAAGAAAATAAAAAGCTGGGTACTTAAAGAAAAGAAGGGTACTAAAAGAAAAGAACAAACGCTTAAACACTTGCTGAAAAGAAGAAAACACTAGCACTGAAACAAAAACACTGGTGTAAAGATGGTAAAGAACTAAACTAAAGTAATTGTTGTGCAATCTAACAACAAACCAACAATCATATAACTTCTAAAGGAAGCCATAAGATCTATCCAAACACAAACATGCAAGTTCTAAGGGAAGTCGTAAGTCCTATCCAAACCAAACAAATGTCACTTCTAAATGAAGCAGTAAGACCCACACGTCTAAGTGAAGTACAACAATCCTAAAGCCCAAACAAAAATCTACGGGCTACTTTCAATGAAAGCCGTAAGACCCATTTTTAAAAATATGCAGACTATTTTCAATGAAAGTCATAAGACCCAATTCTAAAATAAATGAGCTACTTTCAATGAAAGCCGTAAGACCCACTTCTAAAACAATCGGGTTACTTCCAACAGAAGCCGTAAGCCCCGAACCAACTCAAACAAATGAGTTACTTCTAAATGAAGTCATAAATCCTAAGCTGAATTAATCAATGGGTATTCTAGCATATGTAAACCGCAAACTTCCATAAAATTACAACTCACCTATAATCACTCCAGTTTACACGGGATCCCTGAGAGGAAGCAACTCATGCATGCTAATCAAATTATCTAACCATTACGATCAACGATCTCTAATATTGGTAAACTGAAACCTACAGTATACTCGGGACTATAAAACCATGAGATCTTGATCGTGTTTACCTCTATTTCCTCACAACTAAGGCTAAAATAGTTAAAATTATCCATCCTTAATCGAGAGTTTTTTCTTATGCAGTAATAGGGGTAATTAATTATGACGACTTACGCTGATAGTAAGTAAGGATCCAGATTTAACTAAACCCTAATATTACGGTCAGGAAAAATCTGGTTAACTATAATCCACCTTAAGGAGAATAGAACCCTATGCCTGTAAAGCGGGATTTATGCCGACGCCCCATTTTTCTTGAGCTAACACACTACTATGGGTATGCTGACTACTTCAACCTACATATGAATATCATTTTCATATCACTTGCTAATTTAGATAATTCTACTCTATAAAGACATAGGGACATGTTACTGTTTCGCTTTTCTTGGAAACAAACATGTCGTAATTGTTGCTAGTGCATGTAACAAGATAGCATCTCAATTACTTACTAAATTTTCTCTCACTCCGGGCCCCTCTCATTATCTTAATCTAAGCTTAGTGTTTTCTCGAATGAAGTGTTTTACCAATTTCTCATGTAAATAGTATTGCTGGGTTAGTTGGCTCAGTATTCGTCTTGGAAAGTCAGTAGTCGACCACTGCTGGTTAAAAAAATCGAGTTTGTCTCACATGTGCATCATGTAGTAAGATGTAAGTGATTCTTTCACATGTTTGAAAGTTTTTGAAATACTACTACTACAACAACAATAATAACATCAAGCCTTTATACCACTACGTGGGGTTGGCTACATGAATCATTTTTCTCCGCTTTTTAGCCAGTTAAGAGTCAAATTTTCATTTTGATCTAATAAAGAAAGGTCATTTCTAATATTTTTTAACCAAGTCGTTTTAGGTCTACCTCTACCTTTTTTAACATAGGTTAAATCTAATACATTTAATCTCCTAATTAGGTCATTGGATGGCTGCCATTTTATATGACCAAACCATCTAAGACGACTCTCTCTAAAAAAGTTTTTGAAATAGTTTTGATAAAATATATTGTAAAATAAAGATTTTTGCTGCATTCCTCTGTTCTTGGTGTTTTTTTCCTGCATTAGCGCATGGTCAACCACAAAGGATGCAAATGCAAGCTTTGTCAACCAAAGTGAATACCTTTGTCAACACCTTTTCTACATGGACAAATGATTTAAGTCTAATTCAAGTGAATATCTGACCAACTATGTTGCACCGATACACCTATTTATGAAGGCGTGTTGTATCCGATACACCGATACACGAATACGCCTCTTATACGACACCGATACGTGTCGGATATGACAAAACCATATCCAATTAAAATACTATTTCAAAATGACACGCGTATCCGATACGCGTGTCCGTTAACAAAAAAAAAAATCTGAAAAAAAAGACACGTCATATTTACTTCCACGGCTGTAAGTGAGGTTCTCTCATTTTTGAGATGGATTTGAGTCTCTTGATGATATGAGAATATTAGAAATTGCTAATCTTTCACTTGATGAGCCTGAATTAGAAGCAATGATATTGATTGAAGATGATATAGAAGTTCAAAGAAAAACTACTGAAGAAGCTTAATCATATCATTCCTTCTATTGAATAGTTGAAACTTCATGTGCTAGACAATTTATGTTTATACTTTTGTTGTTGTACTAGACATTTAATGCTTCTTTTATTTTGATATTATAAGCTACAAGGCTACAAATTATGCTACTTTCATTTTTTTTTGTAATTTCAAATATTATGTTTTTATTGCTTTCTTAGTTTTTATGTATGATTTATAAATTATAATGCCGTGTCTGCGCCATACCCGTATCCTGTATTTTTAAGAATTGATGTGTCCCGTATCAGTATCGTGTCATATCCGTGTCGCCGTATAAGTATCTGTGCAACATAGGTGACCAATTATATGCTCACAATTAAATCATAATATATATAAATAAAATTTCTATTATTAAATAAATATTCTTATGATGCCTTCACTTCTTATTTCATGCTTTGCTTAAATAAATTTAAAACTAATTTTTAGTATATGTAAAATCATGCATCTCTAAAACAAGTTTTAAATATAAGAATTTTAACAGTGATTAATATGCTTTCTTTTTCATTACCATATCACTATAATTATAATCATTAAAGCATTTTACAATTTTATTTATTATTCATTTGAATGAGATCTCTCATATTTGTCCAACAAAGACATGTGCACTTAAGAGCTTGCAATATAGCTTCTAGGATATGACGGAGGGGTCAACAGTTTATTCTTTTGCATTTAAATATTCAGTTGGACAATGCAGCATATAGATCTATTTCAATTCAATGCGGATATTAGAAATATATCAAAAAGCTGCAAACCAGTCCTGCATTATTATGATGTTAATATTACTTGGCTCTAACAAATTTTGTTTTATGCATAATTTCATGTGACGAACATGAAGAGAGCTCTGAATATTGGAACTATTTAAAAAAACTCAACTGTGACCCTTTATCTTTAAGCTTGCTAAAATCTCAAAATAACTTATACCCAAGACTTTAGCATCTTTCTTGTCTGGATAGCAGTAAGAGGGACAAATTTCTTCCCAAAAACAAGCATCATGGTTACCTTCGGTCGGAAGCTGCAACAAAAGGCTTGGGTACATTTATGATGCTCCCATTGGTGCTAAAAAAGTGTTTTGTTTTTTTGTATAAGATAACATGTAAACTGTTAAAAGAACTGTTTGTTGCTATTTTTCTTTTTGAGTTTTACATGTAAGTTTTCTTTAGGTGCTCAAAAATTAAGATAAAACAGTCAGTCACAATCGAGACAACAATGACAATTTTAACAATAATAAGTTCTTGAAACCAAATTTATCTTTCAGCTTAACCTTTTTGGACAAATTTGTGTTCAACCATGTACTATTTGGACACACCTTGAAATAAATTGGCTTTGCTCGTCACCTAGATTTTGTAAATAATCAATTACAGGTCCTATTGAAATATTAAATTTCATCCATCCCTGGCCTTGCAATCAATTTTGTTGGTCCAAGCATCTGTCCTTAGTCTTGAGAAATGGTAGAACCATATGCACTCAAGACACAAAGCTTTATTGAATTCACGAACATGGCTTTTTGTTACTGCAGGAAAAGATATCCCTTCTTCAAGAAAATGAATCACTGATGAAGGAAACTGTAAGGCTCAAAATGGAGAGGGACTCCTTGGTGAAAAATAAAGAATTAGTTGATGGTCAGTTAGCTAGTTTATCAAAGTATTTGGAAGCTGCACAGAAGGACCTTAAAGAAAGGGATCTTCTGGTAATCTGTATCTTCAAATTTACATATCTGCTAGGCTACGAAACTAATGAATATGCATCCTTATGGGATCTCATGTTTTCTATTGTAGGTTCAAGTTCTTAAGCAGTCACTGGAACTTCAGAGGAAGGAATTGAATGAGTGCAGAGCTGAAATTACATCTCTGAAGATGCACATAGAAGGTTCCCGTGCAAGTAGAGGATGGCATAGCGCAGAAATTGAAGAAATAAAATCGCCATGCATTGAAAAAAAAGAAGAAACTACATTCCATCATATGGAAACCGAAAGCACAAAAGTAATAAAAGTTTTGACAGACAGTTCTAAGCACATGGCAAGCCATGGTGAAGATACCCAACCAGAAGAAAAGGTACTTGAGATGAATGAAGCAGGCATGATGTCAAATTCTCTTCCTGGTTCACATGTGGAGATTATTGGAGATGTTATTGTTGGGCATGAATGTGATAAATCCAAACAGAACACTGTAATTTCTGATGGATCGGGGGTGTCCTGTAATGGAAATGATGATGAAAAGAAAGAAAAATATATTGGCCAGATTGTTGAATCAAAAGCACCGGAAGTTAATTGCTTAATACAAAAAACAGACAGTCCAAGGAGGGTAACAACAACTGAGCAAATGGTAATTCATGGCCTTTGAGATGAATTGCTTAAGCTGTTTCTTTCCTAAAGACCCATTTAATGGACCAGTCTATCATTAATTACAGGCGTTCGAGACAATCCAGATTGTTTCAGATGCTCTGCCTAAGATCGTTCCTTATGTTTTAATCAACCATCGTGAGGTTCTTCTCTGAAAATTTTTCCCCATTCATATCTTCTTTCCAGAAGACTTGTCTCATCAATAAGGATTGTTTTTGCAGGAACTTCTTCCTTTGATTATGTGTGCAATTGAGCGGCATCCAGATGGCAAAGTAAGAGACTCTTTGACGCACACATTATTTAATCTTATTAAGCGGCCAGATGAGCAGCAAAGACGAATCATAATGGATGTAAGCCACCATGGAACACCAGAAGTTTCAGATAGTGTAGCACTTTTGATATTTTCCTTTGTTAACCTTTTTTGAGATTCATAATTTCATATAATCAGAAAATTTTGGTTATTTAATAGGCTTGTGTTAGCCTAGCCAAGAATGTAGGACAGATGAGAACTGAAACAGAGTTGCTTCCACAGTGCTGGGAACAGGTTGCTACAAAGCTGTTCGTTTGTTTTGCTTTCTTAGATGGCATATAACTGTATTTTCGTTGGTAATTTGTTTATTTACTTCTTCCTTTTAGATCAATCACTTGTATGAAGAGAGGAGACTTCTGGTTGCACAGTCATGTGGAGAGCTTGCTGAATTTGTACGGCCTGAGATTCGTGATTCTCTTATATTGTCAATAGTACACCAGCTAGTTGAAGACTCTGCTATTGTCGTGCGAGAGGCTGCCGCTCATAATCTGGCAATGCTGCTTCCACTCTTCCCAAATATGGACAAATATTTTAAGGTCAGCCTCACTAACGCCCAGAGGCAATCATGGAGCCGAAAATTGTCTTCACAGAATTGGCTGCAATGTAAGCTATAGAAAAGGCTGAAAAATATGGCTTCAGGAATGACTTGAAGGCTTAAGCCCTAATAAAGAGAATAAAAAGTTGATTTAGAATGTTAATCTAATTGTTTTGTTTTTCTTTATTTCCATATAATAGGTTGAAGAGCTGTTGTTCCAATTGGTATGTGATCCTTCAGGAGCGGTGGTGGATGCTACACTAAAAGAACTCCTTCCTGCTGTTATAAGATGGGGAGGCAAGATGGACCATGTTCTACGTGTTCTCCTCGCCCACATGTTGGGTGCTGCAAAGGTTCATTTGCTTCTATTTAAATTTTACAGTTTTCTAATTTTTGGCATGATAGTTTTCTGATCAAACTTGTTGATGCGCCTTCCCTTCACTTCTCAGCGGTGTTCGCCTATTTCTGGGGTTGAAGGCTCTGTGGATTCTCATCTGCGTGTATTAGGTGAACATGAACGTTGGTGCATCGATGTTTTGTTGCGTATGATGATGGAGTTGCTTCCATTTATCTTTCAACGATGTATTGATACTTGTCCCATAGCTTTTGCTACCGAATCTATCTCCAGATCAGAACAAAATGATTCCTTTTTCTCATCCTCCTTGCTTCAATCGTATGCTAAGTAAGTTCTTTACTTCACTGATTTCTTATTGTAGTCATTTTACATGGCCATTTCAAAATGATGTTGATTCTTGCTTAATTTCCGTATCATATTAAGTTAATTATTACCTTTTTTGTCCCTGGATAGGAGCAATGTGCAGTGGCCTGCATTTGATTGGATTTACATTGATTGTTTTCCTGATTTAATTGAACTTTCCTGCTTCTTGCCTCAAAAGGAAGACAATCTCAGAACCCGAATAACAAAGGTATTTGAACCTAACAGCTTATTGTCATCTCAAGCTTTGACAGTGTTCTAGATTCATCATATTCCAACTATTTTCATTGAATTTTTATTGGCACTGTTTGTGCAGATCCTGTTGACTGTATCAAAGCTATTTGGAGATGAATATCTTTCTGTTATAATGTTACCTGTTTTCCTTATATCAGTAGGGGACCATGAAAGTGCTATTTTGACATATTTCCCAGCTTCTTTCCTACCAAGAGTCAAAGGTATGAACATTTCTTCTGTTTAGAAGAATTATCTTCATGATCATCCACTAATTTTAATCATGCTGTTTATTTGTAGGTTTGCAACCTAGAAATGCTTTGGCAAAGAAAATTGCCACCACATGTGTCCTTCCTCTCTTGTTGTCTGGCATTTTGGGTGCTTTCAGTAATCATGAAAGACTGTTGGATTATTTGCGGAAGCTATTACTGCTTAACACAACAAAAGAGGGTGCTTGGTCTGCCAATTGCAGTGCTGAGGTCATTGATGCAATCCGTTTTGCTTGGTTGGTATTAAATAACTGAATGGTTTTAACATATTTGTGGATTGGTTTAATTTTTTTTATTGATTAGATTGATAAATGCTGGATTGCAGCACTTTCCAGGAGCATCATGGAACTGTTTTTCAAATAGTATGGGAATTAGTCGCATGCTCTGATGAGAGCTTGAAGACAAGTGCAGCGAATTTGTTAAAAGTCCTAGTATGTTTCTATGCACAGAATAGGTCTCTTTCGCTATAATGCAAATAGATTTTGGATGCTTTATGTTAGGTAAATTCTGGTTAGGTTTCACTTTTTGAGAATTTGTTAAGTAGGACCCTTATGTTGCAAGAATAAAACAACTGGGTCATTCATGTACCAATTTAGCATCTTAAATGGCTATTAGATCACCATTGTTCTCCCTCTCTCTCTCTCACTCGAAGGGGCCATGCAGGAGGAACTATTGTCCAACTGGTGGAAACCATCTGAGCATATCTGATTATTTTCATAATAGGAAGGGATCAATTCGGTGATCCTCATTCCTCTCTCTCTCTCGCTCTCGCTCTCCCTCCATGTCTCTCCCTCTTAGTCTAAAAGAGCTAATGCTCTTGATTTTTGAAAACCATCTTTGAGTCTAGCTGTCTTGTTTCTCAAAAGTAAGGAGCCCAATTTGGTGATTTTAAAATATTAGTAGACTTTTATGCTTTATGACTAATATGAATGCCCTGTTTGGGATTTTGGTGACTTAACCATTCACATTAGTTAACATGGCCCATTTTCATTTACTTGTATGTTCAACATGTCAAATATGTAGGTACCTTATACTGATGTGAAACTTGCATCGACTCATGTCTTGCCAGCACTTGTTACGCTTGGTTCTGATCAAAATTTAAATGTTAGATACACAAGTATAGATGCATTTGGCGTGGTGGCTCAGCATTTCAAAAATGATGTGGTACCAAACTGCTTTTTACACCTCTCTATTCTGTGTATTGACTAATCTCTTATTGTAATACTAAAAATTTCGTATTTCTCAGATTGTTGATAAAATCCGCATACAGATGGATGCCTTTCTGGAAGATGGATCACATGAGGCCATTATATCCGTTGTTAGAGCTTTAATTACCGCAGTACCGCATACAACAGACAAATTGCGAGAATATATCCTCGGCTTAGTTTAATGCGCTTTAAATAGATTTTCTCATTTACCCAGATATCTTTTCAATCCTTTGTACGTTTCTTTAACAAGTTCGTACATCTTTTATCCAAGATCTTCCAACTGACATGCATGCCATCTCATGGTAATGATGTTGTTCGCCGTCGAGATAGAACTAATGCATTTTGTGAGGCAATCCGAGCTTTGGACGCAACAGGTGCTCTTTAAACCATGTCATCACCATTTTTGTTTGTTGTTGAGATAATACTTTCATAGTTTTACTGTCATACAGCTTACTCCCTATTTTCATGTAAGGGCGTGTTTGGTTAGTGCTAATAGGAAGTTCAATGTACAAAATGTGCCTGAAATTCCATATGATTTCCAATTCCACTGGATCCAAGCGAACCTCATTTTGAACCTTAACCTTTTTTCAATTTAAGGAAATACTTGAGTTCGCAAGTAATCCTATTGGATTACTTGAGTTCGCAAGCAAATCTAATCAATAATTAGTAAAACAGCAAGAAAATGAAAGAATTGTGGTGGAAGAACAAGCAAACGATAACAAAATTTTATAGGGAAACAAGAACAAAACAAAGATACAAGAGATCCTCAATTTGAGAGGAGGATCGTCTCTCCCAAATCTCTAGACAAGATTGTCTAGAGCCCAAGCCTCCAAGAAACCCTAATCTCAATCAATCAAAACATGAGAAACTCCCTAATCCCTCTCATCCTCTTGAATACAAAATATTTTCTAATCAATTTTCCCTCCCAAGCCAAAACCGTCCCGTTCGTTTGATTTTCAAAACATTAGGAGGAGTGGGGCGCGCCCGTTTGGGCAGACAAAGCCAAGGAGGCGGACTCCTTCCGCCTCCTATAAACAATTCGAGCCGGCCCCCCTTGGGCCGGCTGGATCGGTTCACTGTGAACCAGTCTAATAATACTTAGTAAAACAACGAGAAAACGAAAGAATTGTGGTGGAAGAACAAGCAAACGATAGCAAAATTTTATAACAATCAAAGAGAAACAAGAACAAAGCAAATATACAAGAGATCCTCAATTCGAGAGGAGGATCGTCTCTCCCAAATCTCTAGACAAGATTGTCTAGGCCCAATGATGTAGAACTATATGCGTAATTGGAGATTTGCACAAAATATTTAAGAGCAATTTCAGATTCTCGTAATAAGCGATTAAAACAACAACGTAAAACAAATAAATGGTTTCTTTCGCTTAGGCTAAGCTACACAAGAGACTAAGCTAGATCAAAACACATAGGAAAATTAAAACATTGCATGCGAAGTAGTTTCCAACTTATCCCTTGTTTAACAACGAGATCTACGGCAAAGGAAGTAACAAATCCTACGAATACTAGTGGATGGCAACTAGTGGACACAATCTCTTGCTTTGAACAAATTCTCGTGAAGAATTTGGAATTCAAAAGTAGAAGAATCAAGAAGGAGAAAGAATCACCTTCACGGAAAGACGGCGTAGAGATCCCACGTACCTTCCAATAATTATCCGTCCAAGGCTAGATGAATCCTTCCCGAATAAACGTCGTGATGAGCAAGGTTAACTCAAGTGCCGGATGGATCGTCCATCTTCAATCGAAATAGGAGCTACACCTTGAGAGGAGGGTGAAGAGAGCGCCCAAATTCAAATTTGAATTTGCCACGTCATTGAAACTTTCCTAATTTGGCGTCGGCCAAATTTGGAAACTTCCACCTTGAATTTCAAAATTTGAAATTCATGGAGGTGGTAGGGGAAAGGCCGGTGATGGGTGGCCGGGATGGGTGGTGGCCGGTGGAGAGGCCGGCGGCCAAGGTGGTGGCCGGCGGGATGAGGGGGAAGGTGACGGGTTTCTTGGAAGAGGGAAAATTCGGGAGGTAAGCTAAGAGGCGACGATTTGTGGTGGTGGAAGAATCACCTGTGGTGGAAAAAGAAGGTAAACGTAGAAAGAAGAATGGGGAAACCAAGAACCACCGGTGGTGGTTGTTGGGTACGACGGGTGGCCTCTCCTAGGCTCCACCTAACTCTCAACCTCTCTCTCAAGCTTCTACAAAGAAAGCTCCAAGAAGACTAATGCAAGAAGAAATTGTAATGTCATTCATTAACCATGAAAATACAAGAAAGAGGCTATATATAGCCCATTACAATGTCATGAAAATAAAAGACTAAAATACCCTCGGGGGGCTACAAGACTCAATCCCTCAAGCAAGGGCAAAAAAAGGAAAAGTGCAGAAATAAAAATACATCAAATAAAATGACCAATCTAATAATCAGAAATACATCGGGCAGATCGTGGCCGTCGATCTACGACCACGTCGACGGTAGACTTTCCAACCGATGTCCCCATCACCCAAGCCTCCAAGAAACCCTAATCTCAATCAATCAAAATATGAGAAACTCCCTAATCCTCCTCATCCTCTTGAATACAAAATATTTCCTAATCAATTTTCCCTCCCAAGCCAAAACCGCCCCACTCCATTTGATTTTCAAAACATTAGGAGTGGGGCCCACTCGTTTGAGCAAACAAAGCCAAGGAGGTGGACTCATTCCTCCTATAAACAATTGGAGTCGGCCTCCCTTAGGCCGGTTAACTGTGAACTGGTCTAACAATACCGCCCTCCCAAAGAACCACCTTGTCCTCAAGGTGAACATCAGGAAACTGATGTGTCACCCTCTCGTAAGGTTCCCACGTGGCCTCGTAGTCAGGGAGGTTCTTCCACTTGATCAACACTTCCTTAGTCCCATCTTCTTTCTAGCGAAACCCCCAACAGCTCCAAGGGTTCCAGAATCGCCTCTAGATCCTCCGTAAGTGTCGTCGGTAGCTCGGGGTGGGCTGTATAGTCTCCAATGGCCTTTCTCAACTGTGATACATGAAAAACCGAATGTATCATCGCCGTTGATGGTAGTTTTAGCCGATATGAAACTGCTCTGATCTTCTATAACAATTCATAAGGCCCAAAGTACCTTTGAGCCAGCTTCTCATTCCTCATGTTGGCGACTGTCTTCTGCCTATATGGTCAGAGCTTCAAGAACATTCTCTTCTCCACTTTAAACTGAATGTCCCTCCTATGCCCATCAGCTTGTTTCTTCATAATTTGTTGAGCCCTCAGCAGATGTCTCTTTAGCTCTTCTAACACTGTATCCCTCTCCTCCAAGTACTCCTTAACTGAAGAAACTGGGGTACTGCTACTCCCAAAGTATATCAAGTGGGGAGGATCCCTTCAGTACAACACCTTGAATGGAGTCATCTGAGAGGCAGAGTGAAAAGAAGTGTTGAATCAGTACTCGACCCATGATAGCCACTTAGCCCAGAGCTTGGGTGTCTCCGATACGAAACATCTTAGGTAAGTCTCCAAGCTCCTATTCACTACTTCCGTTTGGCCATCCATCTGTGGGTGGTAAGCTGTTCTCCTCTTTAGAAATGTTCTATGCAGCCTGAACAACTTTCTCCAAAAGTGGCTGAGGAATACCTTGTCTCTGTCTGACACTATTGCCTCAAGTACTCCATGTAATCTGACCGCCTCCCTGATGAAGGCTGAAGCTACGGTCACTGCTGTGTAAGGGTGTCGGAGGGGAATGAAGTATGCATACTTGCTCAACCTGTCCACCACCACCAAAATCATCGTGAACCTCTCTGAGCGGGGCAACCTGTCTATAAAGTCCATAGATATCTCCTCCCACACTCTGCTCGGTAGAGCTAACAGCTGTAGTAATCCTCCTGGTGACATAGCCAGGTACTTATTTCTTTGGCAGATCTCACATCTGGCTACCATCTCCTCTACATCTTTATGCACCCCCTTCCAGTACAGTTCTGCAGCTAGCCTCCTGTATGTCTTCTATACGCCTGAATGGCCCCCCACTACGCTTCCATGAAACTCTTGGAGTAAGTTTGGGATGTGGATCGAGGTCCAGGGCATCACAAATCTCCTCTGATATAACAGTTTGTCTCCCTCCAATGAGTACCCTGGGTGGCTACCCTCTTCTTTCAGTAAATTTGACCTGATCTTTTCCAAACCTTCATCTCTAGCACTTTCCTCTCTGATGGCCTCCCAGTCAAGCATCAAAGGAATAGATAGTATCACTGTCTACAGCTCCCCTATACATCTAGACAAGGCATCTGCCGCCTTGTTCTCCACTCCTGGCCGATATTGGATCTCAAAGTCGTACCCGAGCAACTTGGATAGCCACCTTTGATCCTCCTATGTCACCATTCATTGTTCTAACAGGTATTTCAAGCTCCGCTGATCTGTCCAGACAACGAGATGTCTCCCAAGTAGGTAGGGTCGCCACTTCTGGATGACCAAAATGATAGCCATTAATTCTCTCTCATACACTGATTTCAGCCGGGCTCTAGCAGTCAATACCTGGCTGAAATAGACAATGGGTCTACGACTCTGCATAAGTACTGCACCCAGCCCGTTTTTGGACGCATATGTCTCCACAATAAAGGTCTGAGTGAAATCTGGCAAAGCTAGGACCGGCACCATAGTCATCAAGCTCTCGAATGCTGATGTGGCCGCCTCCCCCCATAGGAACCCGTCCTTCTTCAACTGCTCAGTGAGTGGCCATGCTATGGAGCTGTACCCCTTAACCAACCTTCTGTAGTAACCTGTCAGTCCTAGAAATCCCCTCAGCTCCTTCAGATTTTTCGGCACTAGCCACTTTAACATTGCCTCAATCTTGGACTGATCTGCTGCCACCCCTTCTTTTGATACCACATGGCCCAAGTACTCTACACTGGCTTGTGCAAAACAATATTTCTTCAAATTAGCCCTTAGTTGGTGCTCTTGCAGTACCTCTAACACCCTTTTCAAATGCTCCCAGTGCTCCTCTGTCCTGCTGTAGACCCGGTAGAGCTGTCAATATTGAACCCGACCTGAAACGAGGTACTGGGGTAATTTCGGGTCGGTTTTTCAAACGGGGTACTGGGGTAATTTCGGTTTGACCCGAACCCGAAGCAGGTTGGGTTCGGGTCCGAAAAACCAACCCGTTTGAAAAATCGGGTATGGTTTAGGTTGACTCGGGAACCCGGGATGACCCGAAATTACACGGAATGACACAAACTGCTCTACCCGCATCCCGCGTCTGCTCGCGTCCCGCGTCAGTCCGCGTCCCGCGTCCAGCCTTTGCCCGCGTCCGGCGTCACTCGCGTCAGTCCGCGTCCGGCTTCTGCCCGCGTCCGGCATCAGTTCGCGTCTCGTGTCCGGCATCAGT